AGAGGTTGTTTCAGGGTTCAATCTGTGAGTTAGCCGTGCCCTGACTTAGATCAGTCCAGAGGTTGTTTCAGGGTTTGATCTGTGAGTTAGCCGTGTCCTGACTTAGATCAGCCCAGAGGTTGTTTCAGGGTTTGATCTGTGAGTTAGCCGTGCCCTGACTTAGATCAGCCAAAAGGTTGTTTCAAAGTATGATCTGTGAGTTAGCTGTGCCCTGACTTAGATCAGCCCAGAGGTTGTTTCAGGGTTTGAACTGTGAGTTAGCCCTCCCCTGACTTAGATCAACCAAGAGATCGATTCAGGGTTCTAAAAAATGTCTTTTTTATGGTTGAAGTAGTTTCTGTCACAAAATAAGATAATACTTGAGATTAGATTAGATTAACTTTTGACGGTAAAAAAAGACAGAGGGTCCTCAACAAATATTGATCCGCCCTGCGGCGGTAGTGAGAAAGAGTAAAGTTTTTTTATTGCATGCCAGCAATGATTTGATAAATGGGATATTTTTTCATATCCGAACAACTAAACTGTAGACCCAAGATTTTCGAGGAGACTTGGATACAAATATTTGAGCCGAACGAAATTGAGGTCATTTTTAGTATTAGAAAGAAAGAGATCAGAGGATCTACAAATTAAAAGCAATATTATATGACGTCGTTATTCGCCTTCCTTACCCTCGGAACTTGAGCACACTTGAAACATAATATAAAAGTAGTTAATAGAATTACAAGTGTCCAGGAAGGATTAATGCGTCAATGTCTGCGATATGTGTGGAAATCAGTACGATGAATGCTAAACACTTAGAAGATGAAAAGAGACACTTTAGCTTACTGACGTTTTATCACCTTAATCTTTTTCTCTGACAAAAAGACGACAATTCCTGAAAACATCCGTTTATTTGTACGCATTTGTCGATAAGTAATCGTTTGCGGGTGTTTAACACCTATTTACAAGTTACTTGACACTAATTTAGCACTCAAGTAGTTAAGCTTTTAGGGTGGATGTTTTTTCTATTTCGCAACTTGTGGTTTATAAAATGTTTGAAAACCATACATATCAGCGTTATCAATTCAGCTGCAGAGAGTTACT